GATCCATTTGATCCAGCTGTTCCCCTTCTATGTATCTTCTCCAAAGAGTTAAACACATAATATCACATTATATATGCATACCCACATTTATAGCAGCACAATTTATAATAGTTAAGTGTTGGGACCAGCCCATATGCCCATCAACAGATGAATGGACAAAGAAAATGTAGGATTTATATACAATGGAGTACTACTCCACCATTAAGAAGGATAAACTTGAATCATTTTTAAGTAAATGGATGGACCTTAAGACCATATTAAGTGAAATAAATCAGACATGCAAGTTTAAATATCTCATTGTTTCTCACAATGTTTACCCCTAAGGGGTAAACAAGGAACAAAACACAGGCTAGATATTTGGAAGTAGAAACATGGGCGGGGGTGGAAATATAAGGAAAAAGAAAAAAAGCTTTTGTAAACAGGGAGGGGAAGAAGAGTTGGAGGGAGGGGAGAAAAAAAGATATATTATGTATAAGTACAAATTTCCTATGATGAATATGAACACTATGTATGGCAAATATGTGCTAATAAAAATGAAAAAGAAACCTGAACAGTATCAGGCAATAAATTGAAGCGGCAATAAAGAAATCTACAACTGAGAAAGCCTAAGTCCAGACTGGTTCACTGAGGAATTCTACAAAAGCTTCAGGGAAATTCTAACACTAATACTCCTCAAGCTTATTGTTTATTTATTTATTTGGTACCAGGGATTGAACTTGGGACCTTGCACTTGCAAGGCAGGTGGCAGAACCACTGAGCTAAATCCCCAGCCCTCCTCAAGCTTTTTAATGAAATTGAAAGGGAAGGAGTACTCCCAAAGTTATTCCTGGAATAACATTATCATGATTCCAAAACCAAACAAGGATCCAACTAAATAAGAAAAGCACACACCAATCTCTTTAATGAATGTAGATGCAAAAATCTTCAGCAAGATACTGGCAAAAGGAATATAATGAATCATCATAAAGACCATACATCATGACCAAATAGGCTTTATCCTGGGGATTCGAGGATGGTTCAACATACCCAGATCTATAAATTTAATTCATCTCATAAAGAGAAGCAAGAACAAAAATCAAATGATCATCTCAATAGGTTACAGAAAAAGCCTTTGACAAAAGCTAACATCTTTTTGTGATTGAAAAACACTAAAGAATATAGATACAAAGGACCTTATCTCAATCTGACAAAGGCCATTTGACAAATCCACTCTGAACATCCTATTAGATGTAGAGAAGCTGAAAGCTTTCGCTCTAAAATCAGAAATAAGACAAGGATGCCCATTATCACCACTCCTGTTCAGCTTATTACAAGAAACATTAGCAAGAGCAAATAGGCTAGGAAAATAAATGAAAGGGCTATGTATAGGAAAAGAATTGAATTATCATAATTTGCAAATGACATGATACTCTACACAGAAGACCCCCCAAATCTACCAAAAGACTCCTAGAATTAATAAATTCAATAACATAGCAGGACATAGTAAAACAAAAATCAAGTGTTTCTGTACGCTTAGAATGAACCCAATAAGAAATTAGGAAAAAAATATCATTCACAATAGCACCAAAAAATTTAAATACTTAGGAAGTTAGCTAAGAAAGTGGAAGACCTTTCTACAGCACTCTGAAAAAGGAGCTCAAAGAGGACATCAGAAAATGAAAACTATGCCTTGTTCCTGGATAGGAGAAACCAATATACTCAAAATGGCCATACTTCCAAAACTGATATAAAGATAATATAATCCCAATCAAAATTTCAATAGCATTCTGCAAAGAACTAGAGAAAACAATCCTAAAATTTACATGGAAACAGAAGAGACCCAGAATTCCAAAACCAGTCCTGAGTAACAAGAGCAAACCAGGAGGCACTACAATCCTGGGCTTCAACTTATGTTACAAAGCTATGATGATAAAAACAGCATGGTACTGGCACCAAAACAGATGTGGATTAATGGACCAGAACAGAGGATGTAGAAACTATCTCAAACATATTCAACTATTTGATCTCTGACAAAGGGAACAAAAACATACACTGGAAGAAAGCCTCTTTAATAAATGATATTGGGAAAACTGGCTATCCATATAAAGAAGATTGAATCTAAATCCCTATCTCTCACCATGTGCTAAACTAGAATCAAAATGGATAAAACTAAATGTTACAACAGAAATATTTAACCTGCTGAGCAAAATAGGTAAAACTCTTGATGTCATAGGCAGAAGAAAGGACTTTCTGAACAGAACCCCCAGTGCACAGGAAATTATACTGAAAATCAAGAAATGGGGTCATATCAAATTAAAAAGCGTCTGAACATCAAAAGAAACAATCAGCTGGGCATGGTGGCGCATGCCTGTAATCCCAGCACTTGGGAGCCTGAGGCAGGAGGATTGCTGTGAGTTCGAGACCAGTATGAGCTACATAGTGAGTTCCTGGTCAGTCTCCACTACATCGTGAGACCCTGTCTCAAAAAACCAAAAAACAATCACTAGTGCAAAGAAAACCTACAGACTGGGAAAAAAATTTTGCCAGCTATTTTTCAAAGGATTAATATCTTAGAATATAAAAAGAACTCAAAAAACAAAACAAAAAAACAGAACCCCTCTAAAATGAAAGACCTGATAAAAAAATGGACAAGTGAAAGTATAGATAGTTCACAAAAGAAGTACAAATGGCTCATAAATACACGGAGAAATGTTCAACATGGCTGGCCATTAGAGAAATGCATACTAAAAAAAAAACACTGAGATTCCATCATACCTCAGAAAGAATCACCATCATCAAGAAATCAAGTAATAACAAATGCTAGCAGACTGCAGGGTAAAGGGAACCCTTCTCCATTGCTGGTAAACTAGTATAACCACTATGGAAATCAGTATGGAGATTCCTCAAACAACCAAAACCAGAAATTCCATTTGACCCAACCAGGTATCTTCCAGAAAGAGTTAAAGACATCATTTTGCAGTGATACATGAATACCTATGTTTACAGCAACACAATTTATATTAGTTAAACCTCAGAAACAGCCTATATGCCCATAAACAGATGAATGGATAAGGAAAACGTGGTATTTACACACAATGGAGTAATACTATGAAGAAGAAAGATAATCTTGAGTTATTTGTAAGAAAATAAATGCACCTTGAGACCATAATGTTTAGTGAAATAAATCAGACACAAAAGCTTATATATTGCAGGTTCTTTTATATGAGAAATATAAGGTATAAATAAAGAGCAAAATATGATATATTTCCTATTGGAAGTAGGGAGATAAATCTTTCTCAGAGGGGAAGGGATCAAGAGATGGAGGGAGAGGAAAGCAAGAAGAGGGAAAGAGGATGAAAAGGAATTACGATGTGTTATGCCTATGTACCAGCTCCACACAAGGAATATAAACATTATGTACTACAAACATGTACTAATAAAAAAGATCTAAAACAATAAAATGGAAAAATATAAAACAACAATAAATGTTGCCAAATGGGAAAATGTCAGGGGGAGGGGAAGGAATCCTTCTACACTACTGATGGGAATGTAAATTAGTAGAGCCACTATGGAAATCAGTATAGAGGTTTCTCAAAAAGACTAAAGATAGAGCTATGTATGGTTTTATCCAGTTATACCACTTAGTATATAGCCAAAGGAATTAAAGCTGACATTACTACAGGGATACCTGCATACTCATGTTTAATGTGGCAGAAGTCATAATAGCCAACATATGGAACTAGCCTAGTACCCATCCACTGTAAGTGGATACAGAAACTGCTGTGGGCATGTGTGTATACCATGTATACACAATGGAGTATTACTCAAAAGAATGGAATTGTCATTTGCAGGAAAATGGACAGAACTAGAGATCATCATGTTCAACAAAATACACCAGACTCAACAAATATCACATATTGTCCCTAATATATGGAAACTTAAATATATGCATTTAACCCCCCTTAAAAGTGTTGTGACTTGTTTACATTTGCAATTAAAAGAGATCCTAACTTTCAATTAGAAGTTAGCAAAAGTAAGGATGCATTTGCCCTATCTGTGAAAATTACACAGCCTTCCTAAAGCAGATGTACAAATTCATTTTTTCATGACTCTAGGGACCCAGGTTAGGAACCCCTGAAGCTAGAAGCTAAAAAAGATTCTTCAGAAGAAATATGGTATGGGCCACATTTTACACATATAAATTATTTTTTTAAAAGCCACCAAACTATCACCAGGCATGGTGGTGCCTGTAATCCTACAAGAGATGAACGCAAGAAAACTGCAAGTTCAAGCCTTGCCTGGGTAACAGCAAGATTAATGAGATCTTGTTTCAAAAAAAAAAGGGCAGGAGATGTAGATCAGAGAAAAGGCCCTAGATTCAATCACCAATACTGAAGGGGGAAAAAAAAAAAAATCAGTCACTTTCCTGTCACTGAGATAAAACACCTGATACCCACAAAGAAAAGAGAGATTTATTTGTCTTATCTTTTCAAACAGTTAAATCTATGGTAAGCAGTGGGTTGGCTTCAAGGTAGAAACGGCATGGTGGAAGGGCAGAGAAAAGGACAGGTGTTCACCCTATGGCAGCCAGGAGGCAAAGAAAATAGAAGCCAAGAACAGAAATACACCCTTCCAGGTCACACATCCAGCAACCCACCTCCAATCAGGCCCCACCTCCTAAGAACACATTCAGGCATGAATTCATCAATGGATCAATCCACTGATGAGTATGGCAATCCCATGATTTAATCACCTTCCAAAGCCCCACCTCTGAATACATGAGTTTTGGGGGATATTTAGAACTAAACCATAACACTATGTATCTTATTGGCAAATATATTTAGAAGAAAAAGGAATTAACATTAAACTCAACTTAGAATGTCCAACCTAAACATATCAACCAAGAGATAAGAGACAGGTTGAATTCTTCTTTGATCAGGCAGATTCTCTTTAAAAAAAAACTGCAATAGTATCGATACTGAATGCCATTTATATTACCTATATAGTCATATAGGTAATACCTCAACAGTGGGTGATTCTTGTCTTTGCTGGAGCTTTTTTCTCCACCTCATTGCTGCAAGTGCTAGTCTTCGTTGCTGTACATTGATGCCGGTCAAAACATCAAGTATGGAGCTGCTTCCCCATTCATAGTCATCTTCCTAGAAAGTTAATCCAATAAATGTTTGAGTTCCTACAATAAATGGAAGCCACTGGGCTACAAACAGGTTTTTGCCCTCAAGGAACCTTCAATCTGATAAGATGAAAGCATTCAATCATAACAAGTACAGTGGACCCTTGACTTACGACCAGCCTACATGCAAACAACTTGGGTTACAACCATAATTTTACTTTTAACTTAAGAACTAAGTTTGAGTTATCCAGCCGCTTATGCTTCCAGATGGTCTCAGATATAGGTTTAACCCTTAAGGAGTTCTGGAAGAAACATTACAGCATTCTTTCCTGTGTGGGATTAACTGAGAAATCCTGGGCCAAAGTCTCTCTAAGGACACTGAGATCTGCCTGTGTACAGGAGAGGGACTCTGAAGGCAGTGTACAAAGCCTTAGCCTTTATTGACCAACCTGAGTTACAAACAGCTCCCAGGTAAGAACACTATACAGAGTACCATAAACAGTAAACATACTGTCTAGCCAGGTGTAGTGGCACATGCCTGTAATCCCAGCACTTGGGAGGCTGAGGCACCTGAGTTGGAGATACACAGTGAGTGAGTTCAAGGCCAGTCTGAACTACAGTGCAAGACTTGTCTCAAAAAACAAAATAAACATAAAAGCCTCATATTGTTTAATTAGTAAATATTTTGTGAACATGGATGAGATATGGATTACTTTAGTCAAGTACATCAAGTACATCAAGTCCCTTTCTTTTTTTTTTTTTGAGACAGGCCTGGAACTCCCAATCATCCTGCGTGTTAAAATCCTGAGTGTTAGGATTACAAGCAAGTACCACCACACTGAGCTCCTTATCTAGATTTTAATACAAACCAGAAGGATACTGCATATATTTCTAGAAACATATGGCAACTATACCTTAGCAGCTGGTAATATTAAGTTACCAACCTTCATCTGCTGTAAGGACATGGTCTCAGAGAAGGCAAGTACAGAGGACTTGATTATCTGGCTCTAGAAGAGATCCTTACATTAATGCCTGATTGAAAATTTCAAAAACTACATGAGTGGCGAGGTATGGTGGCACACTAGTCCAGCACTTGAGAGGCTGAGGCAGGAGGATCCTAAGTTCATAGGTAGTCTGGGCTACATAGCAAGACCTTGTCTCCAAAACTCAACACAGAAAACCCTGGTGAATACCACTGTCAGTGCCCAATAATTAATATTTAATGGTCTAGAAGTAAAGATAAAAGCTTACAATGAGGTAATCTTGAAACTTTTTTTTCTTTTGAGACAGGATTTAGATATGTAGTTCAAGCTAGACTTGAGCTTACTATGTAGCCCAGGCTGGACTCAAACTTGTGACAATCCTCCTCCCTCAGCCTCCTGAGTGCTGGGATTATAGGCGTGTGCTACCATGCCTGGCTGAAACTTTTTTCATATTAAGAGAATGTTATCTCAATTAAAAACCACTAACATTCCAATAAATAATTTAAAAAGTGAATAAAAAACTGAATCTGGCTCTGTAAACTTTCTTTTCTTACTTCACTGCTGAGAATATGAGAAGGCTAGTATCATCTATGCAGGTATCATATGTCTTAGACATCACTTTAATCCTTCACACAAACATGAATACGCACCTGAATAAAGTGGCCTGCAGTCCTGCACGCTTCTAGGTAGGAACGGTGAAGCACCCACTTCCCAGCTGCTACGGAAGCTAAGTACTTCTCATTTCGCAGTGGATGTCCCACAATAATGTGTGTACAGCTGGGATCAAAGCACTGCTTCTCCATCACTAATCCACCTTAACAGAGAAAAACTGATTGTATTCTTCGCATGGAAAAAATACAATTTCAACTATGCATAGAAATTACTTATAAGCAAAAAGCACTGAACTATTTAAATACAAAAACTGATTATGTATACATATATATTAAAAATTTTACTTAAACTTTTAAATACAAAAGTAGTAAAATTAACCCATACACTAGCTACCTAGAGTATAAATTATCCAACTTTGCCATTATGAACACTTTAACCAACAACTCCCCTCTCTTTTATTTTGCAGTGCTGGGGATAAAACACAGGACTTCACACATGCTAGGCAAGTGCTCTACCACTGAGCTACATATCCAGCCCAAAGAATTCTTAGCGTTCTCTCTCAGTGACAAGCTATCAGCTTAAGTTGCCATAGTGTAATTTTTCTAACTCTGCAGAGCTGTTCTGTATAACAAAATAGCCATTAGATATCAGTGGTGATCAAACACCCGAGACACAACTAATCCATATTGAGATGTATTGGGCTGGGGATTTAGCTCAGTGGTTCTGCCGCTTGCCTTGCAAGCACAAGGTCCAGAGTTCAATCGCTGGAACCAAAAACAAAACAAAACAAAACAAAAACAAATTGAGATGTGTTATAATTATGTATCAGATTTCAAAAACAGTACAAGAAACTTTAGAACATGTCACTGGTATTTTATAACAACTGATATATAAAATACCAATTGCACACTGAAAATATATGATAGTTAAATAAAATACATGTTTAAAGTTAACTTCATCTGTATCTTTTTATTTTAAAAACATGTAGCTACTAGAAACTGTAAAATATTAACACATGGGCTCATGTCCTATTCCTACCGGCCAGTGTTGCTATAGCACACTAGTTCACACATCTAGTACGATGCTTCAGACACACATGGAGAGCCTGACCACTAGGGCTAAGAGAATTTTACAAGAGAAGGTGTTCATTTCTGGATGTCATATTTTTTAAAATGTGGTTTTATTCTAAGCCTATTATTTCACTGATTTTGTGCAAGGTTTCATCAATAAATAAGTCTTCTGATATAGAAAACTCTTAACCTTAATCTTAACTGTTGTTTTCAATTTTTATCTTTAAGTCCCATCACCTAGTAACTTTAGATTTATAACAGAATTTATAAAATCAAACCTCTCCAAAAAAACCAAACAAATCTCTCATCATGACTCACTATATTACCTTAGACAAATTACCCATATTCTTTTTCTTAATGTCCACACCTTACAAATAATATCAATACTATATTTAATTTCCAAATAATGTTACTACAATGAGCCATTATTAGGTATAATACTAGTACCTAGTTTTTCGATCAGATGACAATAATCAATACGTTCTTGAGGATTCAGAGATGACAATTGAAATATGTACTGTTTTTTAAATTCTTCATGAGTCTCTTCGATTGTTATAATCTAGAACAGAAGAGTTGTACTTAAGAAAAAAATTAACATAAACAACTATTATGTGTGACATTTTAGTCATTTTCTGAGATGTCAAACACACAAATAATACAATGTAAAGAAATGCAGACTTTTCATCATCTGATGGACCTCTGAGAGCAACAAACTTCTCCTACAGCATAACAGCAATATCCTAAGGCCACATCAGGTTAACAAGAGTCAACACACCTTTTCTCTAGGGTGTGGAGCCACTGGTGGGTTGGCCAAGGGGAAGGCAATACTGGGGGCTTGAGGCGTAGGGATCAGATGATCATCTTTTATTGGAGTTTCCAGTTCTTCAGAGGTTGGGTGTTTTGGGCCTCCAGTCCCACATTTGTTTTCAGGATCACTGATAGCTGAGGACAGTAAAATGCTGGTGTGATACTAACCAAATACAACCAAGAACAAATCTGGGGATACATTCTCATCTGTCTTATGTAAGATGAAATCAAACACAAATTCTACAATGTAAAAAGTACATGCAAAAGAAGTATCCTATGAAAAATCTAAATGTTAAAACAGAAACACTTAATCTGCTGGAAGATAAAATAGGTAAAACTCCTGAAAGACACATGCATAGGCAAGGACTTTCCAAACAAAACCCTAACAGCACAAGAAATAACACCAAGAATCACGAAATGGGATCATATCAAATTAAAAAGCTTCTGCATAGCAAACACCCAAAAAGAGTAAAGAGACAGAATGGGAAACAATTTTTTCCAGAATGTGAAAAATTCCCTACAGAATGGGAAAAAAATTTTGCCACCCATTCCTCAGAGGACTAAGATCTAGTAATATAAAGGATTCAAAAAAATTAGACTCCTCCCTCAATAAAAGACCCAATAAAAAAATGGACAACCAGGGCCAAGTATTTAGCTCAGTGGTTCTGCTGCCTGTCTCGCAAGTGCAAGGTCCTGAATTTGATCCCCGGTACCAAAAAACCCGAAAAAACAAAAAATGGGCAACCAAAATAAAGAGGTACTTCTTAGAAGTCTAAATGACCTATAACGTCCCACATTGCTGGCCATTAGAGAAATATAAATTAAAACAACACTGAGATACCATCTTACTCCAGAAAGAATGCTGATCATCAAGAAATCAAATAATAATAAATGCTGGTGATGTTGTGAAGGGATGGGGAGGCTAAATTGTTGATAGAAATTAAACTAGTACAACCACTATGGAGATCAGTATGGAGATTCATTAAAAAAATGAAAATAGAAATTTCATTCAATCCAGCTATTATTCCCTTCTAGGAATCTTCTTAGAAGAGTTAAAGTCATCATTTTGCAGTGATACATGCATACCCATGTTTATACCCATGTTTATAATAGCTAATCCATAATAGCACAATTTATAATAGCTAAATCTTGGATGCTGTCTATAGGTCCATCAACAGATGAACAGATACATAAAATGTATTTATACACAATGGATATAATATACAATATTGAGGCATTTATAGGGAAATGGACATTAAGTGAAATAAATCAAAACAAATCAAGACACAAGCTTAAATATTTCATGGTTTCTCTTATATGAGAAACCCAAACTATAAATAAAGGCTAACTAATAGAAAGTAGAGATCGTTTTCAAAGGGGAAGAGGGACACGAGACGGAGGGAGAAGGGAAGGGAAGGAAAAGTGATTAAAAGAGAATAAAAAACAATTGGAAATAGAACTTTTTCAAATGGGAAGAGCAACAAGAATTGGGAGGGTGCACGAAGGGATGGGTGACGAAAGGGATAAAAAAGAATTTAGATGTTATATATATATGTACAAACTCATGATAAATGTAATAATGTACTGCAAACATGTACTAATTAAAAAAATGAAAAAATCAAAACAAAAAAGAATCTTATTTCTAGAATGTATAAGTATATGCAATTTATTAGCTTTAAAAGGACAAATGTCTTTTTAAAAAGGACAAATGTCTAATCCTTTCTTTAATTACTAAGTATAATCCAAATTTGTAAAGTGAAAGCAATTATTCACTTGGAGAAAATAAGAGGCAGAGATAAGTATATACATCAAGTGTAGAAAATAATCATGCAAGCCAGGCGTGGTGGCACACGCCTGTAATCCCAGCACTCGGGAGGCTGAGGCAGGAGGATCACTGTGAGTTCGAGACCAGCCTGGGCTACATAGTGAGTTCCAGGTCAGCCTAAACTACATAGTGAGACCCTGTCTCAAAGAAAATAATAACGCAACGTGAACAAGAAGTGAAAAAAGATGACAGGAAGCATGATGCTTTCAAGGTAAAGTTCAATGAAGAGCTAGAAATGCAGCTCATGGGCAGAAAAGTTGCCTGGCATGAGAAGGCCCTGGGTTCAATCCTCTGTACCACCCAAAGCATATGGGGGTGGGGGTAGGGTGATTAAAATTCAGGAAGAAAAAGAGACTTCAGAAAAGATCTCATAAAATTCAAAGAGCAAATATAAGTAGATGCTGGGTAGAATGCAGAAGACTCAAATGAGAATGAGATGATAGTGAGAGAACTAAGTGCAAAAAAAAAAGAACTAGAATGAAAGAAGAATGGTGCTAAGCAGGTATGGGGGAAAATGCCTAATCCTAAATCTCCAAATTTAATGATCAAAATATATATATATATTTTTTCTGGTACCAGGGATTGAACTCAGGACCTTGCACTTGTGAGGCAGGTGCAATGCCAATGAGGTAAAACCCCGGCCCTAAAAATATATTCTTAAATTTACTGATTAAAGTACCTCAATTTATAAATTATTTTTCTGATTCAAGTTTAAACCCAAATTCAAACAATCTATATAGTTTTTCAATTGTATGCGCAAGTCAGGGAAATATAACATTTATCTTTAAGAGGTCAGCATGTACCTAATACAAACAATTATACAGATTTCTTTCTTAGTACCTTTTCTGGCAATTTTTGAATCACATAAAGGCTCTTGAAAAGGAGAATCCTCCAAGTTTTTAACATCAGCCTGAAGCTCTGAGTACTGTGTGGAACAAGTAGGCCACTGCAAACTGCTGGCAAGCCTCGCTCTCTCCTCCCTAGCTGTAGGGTCATCCCAAATGATCTGTTCATTTTGGGAGGGCTCTGTGTTAACATCAGGTGCTATTTGACGAGACTGCCTAAGGAAAAAAAGTGACAATTTTAAATCAACAGCCAACAAAATCCAAATGCGCAAAACTCACTTTCATATGCCCACATCTAGCACAAAGTAGATATCTGATAATATTTACTGAATGAACCCAGGGAAATGTTTTCTTTTTGAAATATTTCTCCCATAAATGTAAACATATTTTGATTGAATGTCCGTATATTTACATGTCAAAGGGAAAGTTCAGCACTGTTAATTTTTTTTTTTTTTTCCGGTACTGGGGATTGAACTCTGGTCCTTGTGCTTGCAAAGCAGGCACCAGAACCACTCAGCTAAATCCCCGGCCAACACTGTTAAATTTTTTAAAAATTGTAAAATAATTGCTGCATTTAAAAGTTCTGTAGTTCTTCATTATATAAAACATGGTAATATTTAGAAAACAGTGGTTACTTTCCTGGATAGTTTTTAATCACTTGAAATAATTAAATTAGCTCACTTTTGTAAAGGCTCCTTTCTGAGGTCTTTTGGTCTTTGATGACCGTATTTCCCAGAATGTAAGGTTGACTAATCTTATATTGAATTTTTTGGTATAATCACATGGTATAATCATAACAATTTTACCTGAGGATAATAGAATGCCAGCTATTTTCTTCATATATATTTAGTAAAAACAATTTACCAAGGCTGATAGTGACCTGAAAGTTCCTTTGCTTCTAAAAGGAGGAGAGACTTTGGGTGGGGGGGAATGGGTATCAAACTTGGGACCTTGTGCTTGTGGAGACAGGCCACAGCACCACTGAACTAAATGCCCGGCCCCTAGGGATATAGACTTTTACTCTCAGAGTATATTTATTTCTCCTGACTTAGCACAGGACTTACTGCAGTATATCAAACAAAAGCTACTTGTCACAGTACTGATATAAAGAATTGTCTTCAGGCCGGGGATTTAGCTTAGTGTTTCCACTGCCTGCCTCAAAAGCACAAGGACCCAAGTTAGATCCCCAGTCTTCAGAAAAAGAATTCAATTCAATTAATCAACTGGAAAATATAATCCCAACACTCATCACACAATTAGAGAATTTTCCTGCATCAGACAGTTATATTACTGAACTTAAATCACATTAATTTATCACACTTCATAAAGACACTAATGAAAGACGACTTGCAGAATTGCTTCACGAAGTGCCAAGAATGATGGGATAAGTTTAAGAACTGCATCCACCTTTCCTAGAAGATAGAATTTTTAAATAAAGAGTACAAATGCATGCAAAGTTCCAATAAAAAATAACTTTAAAATGTGTATGTGTACTTTCTGTTTATTACTAATACTAAAGTACAGAGGGGACTTTCAAATCAGGTAAAGTGGATCTTAAGATCATTTCTATCTCAGGGGCGGCAATAAAAATTAGCAATCATGCCTCTTTCTGGAGTCAGTGCTTACAATGGGACAAACCTCTGTCTGCCTCCTACCCTCAAGTAAGAACTCTAAAACTACTTGAAGCAAGGTAAAGAAAGTGGAAAATCTAGTCATCAGAAAGCCAAAACCCACAGAAATAATGGAATAGATTACATATTATTTGAACAAAATTAGGCCCAGGAATATAGTACTTTCACTGGTCTTAACATTCTACACTTCTGCTTTTCCACTTATTTAAAAAACAAAAAAATTAGTCCAACTCAAAAACTGAGTCAAGCACCTCTCTCAAATCACCTAATATTTCTCCCATCAGTGCTAAGTACATACCTCAGCGCCTCTAGGACTCTACTCCGTCCACTTCGAGTGGAACGAGTGCTCTCGGGGGTTGAAGAGGCACTGTTACAACCACTTCTTGACAGGGAAGTCCTCTGACCTTGGGGTTTCACTATGGAAGTTGCAGACATTATCTCCTGCAGCTGCTTTTGGAAGTTCTCTCTCATCTCCAAGGTCTGTGTCAGAGCTTGAAACAAATATACCAATCAAGGTAAACTTCTCTTTGTGAGCATCTTATATTAATTTTGTCCAGATCTGGTTCAACACAAATTTATTGACTTGACAGAATAATTATCAAAGGCTATAGTAATGTTCTAAGGCTATGAACTCCAAAGAATATAAGATAGCCCTTACCACAGGATTGTAAATGAAATAATTAGGAAGCCCTTCACAGATCTGTAGTGATGAGCCTTTGTAGAGTTCCCTGCCTGCTTATGACCCATTCTCCTACTGTGCACCACACTCTTACAGGACAATCGTGTAAGTATGTGCCTCACTTTCAACTATAGTCACCAAAAACAGAGACTAGAACGTATGTATCTTTTGACTTTTTTAAAAGACAATGAAGTAGACACTGATTCTGGAATGAACAGAGTGGAATTAACTAGGGAAGTCATAGGCAAAGCTCTGGTAAGATAGGTTAAGTAAGGAAAATACTAATCTAGTAAAGAGAGCAGGTATATCTATAAGGTTATTAAATGCAACAATGGAATAGTAAGAAATTAAAAATAACCTGAAAATGCCAATCAACAAGAGATGGCAAAATAAAGCAGGGCCACCATACAATGAATACTAGGCGAATTTAAAAAACAAAAAGACGGAAGCAGGTCCTTATGCACAGTCATATCTAGTTTACTCTGCTTCACAAATACTATGTGCTATGGCTTGGACAATCTGAGTGAATCCCTAAAGATTCATGGCCTGGTAGCCTGGTCCCCAGTGAAGTAAGTGGGGCCTAGTGGAAGATGGTTAGGTCACCAGAGGTGCTTCCCCCTTCTTTAAGTTATTAGTACAAGTTTGCAATATATAATGAATACATTCATCATGGGGCATTGGTACATATGCATAATAAGTTTTCTTCTTTCTTTCTTACCCTGACCCCCTCCATTCTCCTTCCATTCCAAAATCTCTTTCAATCTGTAAAAGGTCTATTTCCCTATTTTCTATCATCTATCTTTTATTTGCTATTTAAATTATGTATATTTTGGGTCTCTCATATAAGAGATACCATGCAACATGTAACCTCTTGTCTGATTTTGTTTACCATTATGGTCTCAAGTGGAGTACCACTCTCCAGAGTGACTAATATAGTTCTCAGCAGGCTCCAGTTAATTCCTTTGAGAGTGAATTGTTATAAAACGAGAAAGCCTAGACCCAGAATTTTCCTCGCTTTCCCCCACAGCCATAAATACTATAGCCTAATGCCAGATTTCATGATGTGATATATGATAATAAGGCCCTCATCTGAAGCAAACTCAAGGGGCTGCTCAATCCTGGGTTTTCAGTTCCAAAACTGCGCTAAATTACATTGCTTTTCCATATGCATTGTCCAGGACTGTGTCACAACAACAGAAAAAAATTAACAGCTTTGTTTTGTTTTGTTTGGTTAGGACTTTTGTTTGGTGGTTTTTGATTTGGTTTGTGTTTTGTTTGGTTTGTTTGCTATGCAATTCAGGCTGGCCTTGAATTCACTATGCAACCTAGGCTGGCCTCAAACTTGCAGTGATCCTCCTGCTGCCAAACCTCTGAAGTGCTTGGATTACAGGTGTGCACCACCACACTTCATTAACACAATGTATGGGGGGTGGTACTGGGGATCACACTCAGGACCTTGCACTTGTGAGTCAGGTGTGGCACCACTGAGCTAAATCCCTGGCCAAACACAATGCATTTTTTACCAAATGAAGATTTGTGGCAACCTGTATTGAGTAAATCTATCAGCACCATTTTTCTAACAGCATGTGATCACTTTCTATGTAACATTTTGGTGAATTTTCACAATATTTCAAACTTTTTCCTTATAATTTTATCTGTTACAGTAATATGTGACCAATGATCTTCAATGATTGTTTCCCATCTCCCACTCTCTTTCCTAGAACCTCCTTATTCCTTGAGAAACAATACTGAAAAAAGTGTCCAGTTAACATACTACAGTGGCCTGTAAGTGTTCAAGTGAAAGGAAGAGTTGTATCTCTACCTTTAAATCAAAAGCTAAAAATGATTAAGCTCAGTGAGGAAATTACATTTAAAAAGCAAGACAGATCAATGATAAAACCTTATTGGATAAGGAGTTGCTTCTTACTGGTGATCAAAGAAAGTAGTTTCTTGGGATGGAATTTACTCTAGTAAGGATGATGTAATCAACGTTGAAATAAACAATTCAGAGTATTATATAGCAAAGCCAGGCATGGTGGCCCTTGCCTGTAATCCCAGCAATGGGGATGCTGATACAGGAGGACTGCTGAGAGTTCCAGGCCAGTGTGGGATACATAGAGAGACCCTGTTTCACAAAACAAAACAAAACAAAAACCCAAGGATATGATATAGGCATAGTTGACAAATCACAGGTAGGATATGACTCCAGTTTGGAAAGGAGTTGTACTATGCATACTACAGAGAAACTTTTCATGAAAGGAAGCATCAGTGTGGCAAATGTTTCAGCAACTACTATGACCTGAGTTAGCAGAGGCAAGACTCTCTATCAGCAGAAAGATTCTCTCTTCCTGAAGGATCAGATGGTCATTGGCATGTTTTAACAATAAAGTATTTTTCCCCCTTATAAAGTTTTGTTTTATTTTTAAGGTGCTGGGGATGGAACCTATGGCCTTGCAAATGCTAAGCAAGCACTCTACCACTAACCTACATCTCCAGCCCACAATATAAGTTTTGTGTTTTTGCATTTTTTTATTTTATTGGCATATTTTAGATATACATGATACCATTCATCACAGAGAATTTATACCTGGTACATGATATATCTTGCTTCTTTGACCATTCCCTTCCCCTCCTTTCAACCCTTCTTTCCCTCCTTTACAAAGCTTTGTTTCCATTTTGTTCCTCGTCTCATCCTTCCTTTCCTCTCCCTTCTTCCCCTTCTCATTTGAATATGTCTTTTAAAATTATGTGTCTATTTTAAAAGGCATAATGCTAATGCATCTTTAAGAGATTTTTTTATATAAACTAAAAAGCCACAAAAATCTATGTGACTCGCTTTATTGTGACAAGTGCAGTGATTTGGAACTAGCCTGTAGTATTGTATCTCCACAGTTTGCCTATATCAATATAAAACAATCCCCAAGCTAAACTATTAAACAAAAAGATCAGGGTAAAAGAGCATACAGGAGGGTTGGAGATATAACTCAGTGGTAGACCACTTTCTAGGATGCATAAGGCCTCTCCTGGATTTGATCCCCAAACACCAGAGAAACAAAATGTTAGTTCACATTTACAAGTTTTTTAAAAGATAGGGAAAGAGAAAACATATTTAATATATATACTTAAACATGCATAAAACAGCTCTAGGAAGATAACAAATTAATTAATACTGGGAAACAAAGGTGAGGGAACTCTTCATACTTCCTTCTGTATCCTTAAAACTATGTGAATATGTTAAGATACATTACATAATGAAACTAAAATATCACTAAAAAGATCTACAACAAAGAATTTTAAAAAAATCATTAACTCCCACTTTTAATGGATCAGAGCTGTAGCACATTAACTCTGTAAAATACCTAGAATCCAGAATTGATTCTCAAATATATAGTCTGCTAGCATTTAGCAATATAACTAATTTTACTTTTTCCATCTGATGTGAAGTATTTGCAAGACATTTATTTATAAAAATTTTCTTTTTGCAATTTAAAACATTTTACCTCCTTTAGAATCATTCCTTCCACTTCCATTTGACAGTGCTGATTCTTTGTTATTGGCAGTCATATTATCTACATCATTTTCTTCTACAGTCAAATGATCTAGCTATTGAAAGAGAAAAATCATAATTTCTCAAATGAAGCTGTAAGTTCTTAGAGAAATCTATGACTATACTTTCTGTGTTGTGCACATCACCTACCTGATTGTCCTTTCCTGCAGAAACAGCTGAAAGTACTTGACCATTACAGAGTCGGTCATCTTGCACTGCACTGATATCCAGGCTCATTTTGGGATTATAAGTATGAGGATAAAGGGATTCTGGAAGATGTTTATATTCTTGGGCACACTGAAACACAAAGGTGTGCTTTAAAACAGAACTGAGCAAAACCTTAGCAACTAAATGGTGTTAAGCAGCATAATATAACAATCAATATAGTATGTCATAAGATTACAAAGACTCATGAAGTTAGTTTTAAGAATTTTAATTTACAGTGAAAATCTGTATAAAATTTTCAAATTATAAAATTTTCATTCATACCATTTTTTAACTAGTGAAAGGAAGGGTACTCATTAGGGCCAGGGATTTAGTTAGTGGCACCACACCTGCCTCACAAGTGCAAGGTCCCAAGTTCAATCTGCAGTACAGCAAAAATAAATAAATAAATAAATAAAAAGAGTGCTCACTAAAGATTTGTTAAGTATTTAAAGACCTTAAGAATGTGGTGGTGGTGGCACACACCTATAATCTCAACTACTGGGGAGGCTAAGGCAGGAGGATTGCAAGATCAAGGCCAGCCTGGGTAACTTAGTCCCTGTGTCAAAATAAAATATACAAACAGAGCTGGGAATATAGCTCAGCAGTCCTTGGGTTGTATCCCCAGTATTGAAGGAAAAAGAAAGGAAGACAAGAAGAAGATAGAAGAAGGAAGAGGAAGAGGAGGAGGAGGAAAATTGAAAAGAAAAGCAATGTGAACTGTGATATGGGTTAGATCTTTACCATTCCCAAAAGCCCATGTGTCAGAGACTTGATCAGCCTAGCACTAAGAGTTGAGGCCTAGTAGGAAATGGGCGGGGGGCTTGTCCTTGAAGGGCACAGTGGACCCCAAATCTCTTCTCTTTTACTTCCCAGCCACGAGGTAAGTACTCTCCCATGTGGTCTTTCCATGATGTGCCTCCAGTTAACCAAGACTGTCAAACTTCTTCACATACACTGACCCACCTGTACTGAAATGTTTGTACATATTTTCAATTAAAGTGAAGAGAGGGAGGAAAACATTGCTTACTTCTAAAAGCCAATGCTCTGAAACAATGTGTACTCCTCTTTCTTTTACAGATTTATACTCTCGGTTGCTATCATTTGGCCGGCCTTGGTAGATGAAATGAGTCACAGTCTCATCGAAACTCCACCTGAAACAACCAAATACAAGAAAATGAGTAACTAAGAGAAATATCCACACTGGTTAAAATGATCACTGGGTAGGGGATTTAGCTCAGTGGCTCCACCACCTGCCTTGCAAGTACAAAGACCCGGGTTTGATCCCTGGTACCAAAAAAAAAAAAAAAAAAAAAAAAAAAAAAAAAAAAAGAGATGATCATTATTCACTATGAACAGAATATCCTGACCTACACAAAACTTTCAGAACTAGAGTAAGCAAGACCATCAAACTGATAAGACTCCACTCACTGGCAAATGTTACGATACATCTTAAGGTATATAAATGAAGAGATATGTTTTTATGGCTTATATTTAGATGTCACCTGAAGATTCATGAGCTAGTACATGGGGCTTTTTGGAGGTGAATGGATTATGAGGCATTGTATTCACTGGTGGATTAGTCCAGCTATGAGTTTATAGCTAAATGTGTGTTAGGAGATATGCCTGCTCTAAGAAGTGGTTACTGTGTCCTAAAGAACAAGGTGACTAAGATATGTTTTGAATGGTATTCTTTCTTTATACTTCTCGGAATGGCTTTGATTTTCTTTCATAATTTTCATTATCACTTTATAGCAACAATAAATATTTTTTATTTTTTATTGAGTTTATTTGTGCATTTTAGGTATACAGTACAATTACATTCATTATTGGGATCTTTTACCTTTACATGACAGGTCTTGGGTGCTCGCTTCGGCAGCACATATACATGACAGGTCTTGGTTCTCATTTTGTCCCCGTCCCTGCCCTCCCTTCACCCCTCCTCCCCTCCCCATTTACAAACACTTTATTTCCATTTTTTCATTTTCTCATATTTTTTTCTTTTCCCTAATTACCTTTCCCCTACCCTTCCCACTTTTCCTACACCTTTAGCCCTTTTCTTCCTTTTTCACATTGTCAATTATCTCATTAGGATCTTATGTACTATTATAGTTTATTCACACCAGAGAAGCTATTCAGTATTTACACATGTGACTTATTTATTTCACTTAGGAGTATATCCTCAATATGTATCCATTTTCCTATGAATGAATCTAATTTCTCATTCTTTATGGCTGAGTAGTATTCCATTTTTATAGAAAAACCACATCTTCTTTATCCAGTCTCCAATGGATGGGCAAATGGGCTGTTTCCAAGTTTTAGCTATTACAAACTGTGCTGCTATAAACATAGGTGTGCATGTATCACTGTGATATGATTCTTTTAATTCTTTTGGAAAGATGCCCAGCAGAGGGATGGCTGGGTCAAATGGAACCTCTAGTCCCAGCTCTTTGAGGTATCTCCATATTGATTTCCATAGTGGTTGGACCAGTCTGCACTCCCACCAACAATGGAGAAAGGTTCCTTTCTCCCCACAACCCCACCAACATTTGTTATTGGTTGATTTCTTGATAGCAGCCATTCTTTGTGGGGTGAGGTAGAATCTCAGTGTTGTTGAAATTCCAACAGCATATTTCACAGAACTTGAGAAAACAATCCAAAATTCATTTGGAACAAGAAGAGACCTAGAATAGCAAAAGCCATCCTAGGCAACAGAGATATGGCAGTGGGTATAACAATTCCCAATTTGAAATTATACTACAAAGCCACTGTGATAAAAACAGCATGGTACTGGCAAAGAAACAGACCTGAGGATCAGTGGAACAGATTGAAAGACACAAAATCAACTCCAGATATACTCAGCTACCTCAACTTTGACAAAGGAGCTGACTGTCCCCACTGGAGAAAAGATAGCCTTTTTAATAAATGGTGTTGGAAAAACTGGATGTCAACCTGCCACAGATTAAAATTAGACCCTTATCTTTCACCATGCACTAAATTAAAATCCAAGTGGATTAAAGATCTAAATATTAAAACAGAAACACTAAACTTGCTGGAAGATAAGTTAGGCAGAACTCTGGAAGACATTGGCATAGGAAAAAACTTTATGAAAAAATCCTCAGTACCACAGGAACTAGCAAAAAGAATCAACAACTGGGATCTCATCTTATTAAAAAGCTTCTGCACTGCAAAAGAAACCATCAACAGAACCAAGAGACAACCTACAATGTGGGAAATTTTTACCAGCTGCTCCTTAGACAAAGGACAATTATCTAGAATATATAAAGAACTCAAAAGAATCAGCCCCTGCAAATATAAAGACCCGTTTCAAAAATGGGCATCTGAAACAGACATTTCTCAGACAAAGAAGTAAAAGCAGCAAGTAAATATATGAAAAAATGTTCCACATCACTGGTCATTCGAGAGATGCAGATATAGATTTTTTTAAATTAATAAAATGTTGCAAAGCATCCAAATCTGTCCTCTGGTTCTTGGTTGTCATTATTCATTATATATTTGCTCTATGTCCTACAACAGACTGTACATTTCCAATCATCACCTCATTCACTCCTCACAAAAACATTGTCACACTGGTATTATATCCATTTTACAGATAAGAAACTGAGGGATGGCCGGGCGTGGTGGCACACACCTGTAATCCTAGCATTTGGGAGGCTGAGACAGGAGGATCACTGGGAGTTCGGACCAGCCTGGGCTACAAAGTGAGTTCCAGGTCAGGCTCAACTACACAGTGAGACCCTGTCTCAAAAAAAAAGGAAAAAAAAGAAAAAAAAAAGAAAAACTGAGGGATGTGGGTAAAGAATCTGTTGAAGATATTCAGTAAGTGTAGAGCCAGTTTGAATTCAAAACCCATGCTATTAACTCAGTGTGCTAAAATCTCTTGATTCTTCCCTTGTAATATTTTAGGAAAATGGAAAAATGTACAACATGTCATCTTTCCAAAGTTCAAAAATGAAAGAGAAATAAAAACTGCATTTCTAGCAGGGTTATGGTGGCACACACCTGTAGTCCTAGTACTTGGGAGGCTGAGACATGAGGCTCTCCATGAGTTGAAGACCAGCCTGGGCTACATAGCAAGACCCTGTCTGAAAAAAAAGTATTTCTAAATATAATTACCAAAACTGGGGCCTGGGATTCAGTTCAGTGGCTCCACACCTGCCTTGGGAGTGCAAGGCCCTAAGTTTGGTCCCCAGTACCGCAAAAAAAACCCACCAAAACAAAATGAAACAAAAACCCAAAATAAATTTCTCTTGTGGACACAATATGTTTTCCATTCCCCAAATAACAAATATCCCTGAACCTTTCAAACAGGCAAAAATTAAGCAAATTACGCACTAATATTACAAGCACCTAAATTATAAGCATCTCTAATTTCTAGTGCTCTGTGCATCCTTAAAAACATATTTAAAATATACCCTGCCTAATTCATTAGTGCTAATAACTGTCTGTAATTGCCATCAAATTATAGTATTTAAGTATCAGCACTTTAGTATTCCCTTTAAGGTTTTGTTTTGAGACAGGGTCTCACTATGTAGTCAAGGCTGGCCTTGAACTCATCATGTGGCCTAGGCTGGCTCTGAATTCCAGCAATTCTCCTGCCTCAGCCACCCTAGTGCTGAGATAAAAGGCATGTGCCACCATCCTGGAAATTTTATTTAAATATATTAAACAATCCAGATAATTCAGAAAAATAGAGGAGTTTTTGTTTGAATCAACTTGGTTTACCTTTTAACATCACTATGATAATTAAAATAGAAACTATGAGTTTTGGCCCTCTGAGGTCCTTTATTAGTGGTTGCAGATGGTACAGATCATGAATGGGCAAGTTTTTCTTACAGGCTAGCTGGTAAATAAATGCCTTAGGCCCTACAGGTCAATTCCTTTTCCAACTACTCACCTCTTGCCTTGTTAGGTGAAGGCAGTCAAAGACAATACATAAAAAGCATTGCTAGGTTCCAGTGAAATTTTACTATAGAAAGAGATGACCAGCCCACTGACCTTGGTCCAGGTAAGTGCTTTCATCAACTGTTACTTTGCTCCAAGAAGTGCTTTAGAAATTTGCAGGGTGACTTTGGCTGTTAAAGTAATATGTTCATATACTAGAGGGTACTACACTATGTGATAAGGTCCAGGGGTGCTAGAAATTCTAAGGAATAGTCACACAAGTATCCCATATTCTGCATGATTTTCTAATGTCCTAACAAAACCATGTAGAAAAAGACAGTATCAGATCATCTCTTTAAGACAGTCTGGTCCTAGAGATCATGGAAGGGCACACTTAGGATATTTATTTCAGAATGGATTGCCAAAGTGAACACATAAATACTGTAACCCTATTAAAAGGCATTTTAATTATTTACCAAGTTTGAGAAATCCATTTCAAGAACAGATTTTTTAATTTTATTTTTGTGGTAGTGGAAACCAAACCCAAGGTCATTCTACCACTGAGATAACATCATTTTTGAGACAAGGTTTCACTAAATTGCTCAGGCCTGCCTTGAACTTTTGATCTTTCTGCCTTGGACTAGTAGCTAGGATTAGCTAGGATTACAGGAGTGTACCATCCTGCCTGGCTTTCAAAAAAAACTTAATTAATGTAATTGAATAGTTAAATTCTGCTTAGAAATTTCAACAATAATTTTTTTTTTTAATACTTAAAGGACTGGCATTTTAAAACTTATAAAACATACCCTCCCATAGGGCTACTATGAGAAAGAAAAAAGGTATTGTTCAACCACCAGTAATAAAAATGTAAATAACAGATAACTATACAATTATGCATATTATAGATAATACAAATAACAAGAAAGCTTCACTAGCCCACAACAGGTGCATTAAACACTTAGATGCTTAGAACTATTACAGATAAATTTTATTTTTACATTATCCTGGCCCAATTTCTTTATCAAATAGAAAACTAACTGAAATAAGATTAAAGGGAAAGTTAAAACTAAGTCTATTTCTCAAACTGTCACACATAAAGCCAACCACTATACTATCCATGGACAGCTGGACACTAGTGATCAACAGAAAGAGCAAGCAGTTTCTCAACCCTTAACTAGGAAGCTGTCTCTGGCTTAGGCTTCCAGGTTGAGGGCAGATCTAACAGATTACATCTACAAAGTCTTAAAATGATAAAAATAAGCCAGTTCCAACTACTAAAAAGACTAAGGCAGGACCCAGGCATCATAGCAAGATCCTGTGTCTGTCTGTCTGACTTTGGCAATGCTGGGCATTGAACCCAGAGCCTCAGGAACACTAGGCGTGCTCTACCACTGAACTGCATCACCAGCCCAAAACTTTTCTCTTAAGAGTAAAAAGATACCAATTAAAACATGTTGAAAACAGATCATCTTAATTCAGAAGGGCCTCGGAGTACTTAGTACTACACACAGAAGAGTTCTAATCTGAAAATCATTATGGTAAAAATAAGTTTAATCTCAGGTCCCAGTGGATTACTGGACTATAAACTCCTGAACACAGGATCTCTTTAATACTGACAATTCATGAATCTCAGGTTTCTAGAATAGTGAGTAGAACAAAACAGGTTCTCAAATATTTGTTGAATGCATCTTAAGAAATACATACACATAAATGGATAAATGAGAGGATATTTTCAAAGGATGAGGTAAGTTAAAAATCAACTGGAGAGATTTCATACATAGTATTACAAACTAAAAAGCAAAAATCATGTATTCTGGAGAATGCTCACAATAACTTTAGGTTTTCTTAGGCCATAATACCTCCAAACAGAAAGATGTGTACTACCTGTAATCTGCTCCTAGAGAGGCTGCAATTCCATTTAGTTCACTCTGCTTTTTACTGAGTTTTTTACTCACACATACCACAACTTTGTGAAGTGGCTTTGGAGCTTCTTCCTGTACACGGAGAGAAAAAAAACAAAACAAAACAAAAAAACCCCAACAGATTAGACATTGTTTGAAATCTTTTACCTAAAATTTCCACTTGATAAGACAGCAGCCAAGTGTGGTGGCACATGCCTGTAGTTTCAACACTTGGGAGGCTGAGGCAGGATTGCCACACATTCAAAGCCAGCCGAGGCTACATAGTGAGTTCAAGACCAGCCTAAACTACATAGTGAGACTGTCTCAATAAAAAAGAGAGAACAAGCCTACCTTCTCCATTTGGGCATTTTTCAGCTGAGGGCTGGCAGAAAGAGCAACAGTATTTCGAGAGCTATTTGCCAAAGCAAGTTTCAAATTTTTGACAATGACTTCTGAGAGTGGTGGACTCAGTTTCTTCTTCTGTTTACTGGCATCTCCTGGAGTTTCCAAGGCTGCAAGTGCATCCTATGTATTTGAAAGAGAAGGAAAGTTTAGGGGAGGTGGAATGAGGGATAGGAAGGAAAAAGAGAGGAGGACCGAGGGGTATAAAAAGAGGGGAAGGAACTCCTCAAAATTAATGCATTAAAGAATTAATCTCTAGTTTTCATTCAAACAACAACAAAAAGAATAAACTATAATTTATATCTGTATACTATGAAAAAATAAATAAATCCCTACTGTCCAGCAAACCAGTTCAAGACTACCGGGCTTAGATTTTAACAGTTCATGCCACATTTATCTGAATCTAAAGAGTTAAAGTTATATTTAAAAGGACAAAAATGAAACACAGAGAAGGAAACACATGAGGATGGATATAATAAATAAGAAAATTGTAAGTAAAAAACAAGTCAGAATGAGTTAAAAATTGTGAAAAATCTTCAAGTGTATAAAATATGTTCCTGTTCCCAAAGTACCCACTATCCCCCCTCCTGGGAGGAAGCTACTGCCCAAGCAGCTTGCTCACTGTCTTCTTCATCTACACATCTATGTACACAACAGAATATATTTAACCTGGTGCCAATGATTAACACAGCAACTACTTATTTAAAAGAAAAACCATGTGAGAGACCAGGAGAAACAGAATATCAGTAAGAAACTCTAAAACAAGATAGGTGAAGTGGACAAAAAATAGGAAAGAAAATAAAATGTTTAAACAATGTAAGCAATAAATTAGATCTGGATGCATACAGGGGTGATCAAAATAACACAGTATGTGTTTAAATTTTTAAAATGTGTAACAGTAAAATACACACTGCCACTGATCTCCCTCAAAATATTCCCCTTGGCCTTCACATGCACTTAGCCCACTGTTGCTGCCACTTTCTGAAGCAGTTCTGGAACCCCTGTCACATGATCAAAAATAAGGTGAATGCAGTTTTCAAGTGCCATCAACCAGATTCATAAAAGTATGATAATGGGTGTGTTCTCATCTATCTTATTCACTGAATCTGGCACTGTGTGACTTCTGGCTCTGCCTCAAAGTCAAAATGGCCATGAAAGGTCAGTGTTTTAAATGGTTCAGAAAATCAAGGCAGCTGTAATAGCAAAACTATAGACACTCATGAAAGAGGTCTTCTCGAACTGTTTCAGAAAGTGGTAAGAATGATGGGATAAGTGAATTCAAAGAAAGGGGGAGAATTCTGGGGGGGCGGTTAATGGCAGTGTGTATTTTACTGTAATAAGTTTTTTAAAAATTTAAACATTTACCATATTTTTCACACCTGATATATTGGATATATACCAGACATTATGCCATCAAATATCAAAGCACAAAACATCTGTAAGTTCTGTCTGCCAAGTAAAAATAGTACGATACCCTAAGCACAATGGAACAGAACTAGAAATTTAAAAAACAAAATAGCCCTTCCAAATAGAAATTAAAAGACTATAATGAAAACACTATATATTTAAAGAGTAGAGTATATGAATATTTCTTATACTATTTTACCTTAATAATTTTTTAGTTAAAATTATTTCCAAAAGAAAAGTCAGAAAATCAAACAACTTATAGGACTAAGAATTTGCTAGGATAACTACTAGATACTCTTCTTACTGTACTATCTACTGGCGGAGGTATCATCTGGTACTTCTTGGACAATTTTTCATTCTCTACTAACAGTAAAATGTAACCCAGCAACTTCCTATCTAGGTATATATCACACTGTATACATGCATACATATTCTAAGAGATATGGAGAATGTTCATAGTAACATAATCCTGTAAGAATAGAAACCTACTAGCCAGGCGTGGTAGTGCATGCCTGTAATCCCAGCACTCGGGAGGCTGAGGCAGGAGGATCGCTGTGAGTTCGAGACCAGCCTGGGCTACATAGTGAGTTCCAGGTCAATCTCAACTACATAGTGAGACCCTGTCTCAAAAAAAAAAAAAAAAAAAAAAAAGGAAACCTACTCACCACCCAAAAGCTCATCCCCCTTATAGTACTAGAAATGTAAACCGTGTAAATCCATACAATTGAGTAAATAACATAGTTACATGGAGCAATATGGACAAATATCCTAAATGGTAGATGAACAGAAACAACAAAACAGACTCAAAAGAATACATATGCTGCCACTTATTTAAGTAAGAAGCAAACATAACGAAACTACAGTGTGAGAAACAGTAATGTCACCTCTTATGAAAAAGGGAGAAAGCAACAGTGAGAAAAAAGCAAAGTGGATTCTCAACTGTTAACACTGATATTCACTTAGTAATACATTTATTGTAGTTTTTTGTTTTATTTGTGGTATTGAGGATTGAATTCAGGATCTTTGCACTGAGCTATATATCCCGGGTCTTAAGGGATAAAAAAAAAAATTTCAAAGAGGTTCTCACTAAGTTGCTAAATTGTCCCAGACTGAGCTTGAGCTTGCAATCCTCCTGCCTCAGTTCCCCTGTTATGGGACTACAGAATTTAACCACCATGCCCAGTAATAATATATGCCAATGAAAACATTAATTTAAAGAGAATTTTTTTGTTAATTCTTGAGACCTAATAAATGGATAATTTTGTCATTATTCCAGGTGACATCTATGTTTTACACAAAGAACTTAATATATATCACTTCAATTTGACAAACCAATGATTAGAAGAGAAAGCTTTACTTTATATACTACCAAAAAATGGGAAAAAGGAGGGGGGGAGACACTGCAAAATAAACCGTGATTCTAAACAATTAAATCCCTTACATGTGTGTTTTGTTTGTTTTTTGTTTTTTTGAGACAGAGTCTCACTATGTAGTTGAGACTTACCTAGAACTCTCTATGTAGCCTAGGCTGGTCTCGAATTCATAGTGATCCTCCTGCCTCAGCCTCCCAAGTGCTGGGATTACAGGCGTGTGCCACCACGTCCATCTAGTTACATGTATGTTTTTCTGTTTGTTTTGTAGTGAGACTACTTCAGATCTGTAACTTTTACTGCAAGGTATCCATAAAAGAATGGTCTAAATGACTGGCAATACCTTGACTACTTCCTTGCCTACTAATATTATTTCATTTGCTATTCAAAGCGACTGTCAGCCATGAGTTGCAGAGATCATCTGGATTTATTCTGATTTTACAGACAAAAATAATGAACCTTAAAGAGGTTAGATTTAAAAGGCACCAAGAGGCAGAAAAGTTCACTCCAGATCTCACAGTTCCCAAAACAGAGACTGTCCTTTACTTGTTAAAGCAGGAGAAGCAAGAGTGTACAGTACAGTATGTTACTTCAAATGGATTTCATGGGCATGCTCAGAATTCTGAATTTGTTATAATAAAGACTGAAATTTTTCAAAGATAAAAAACCTACCTGGTATTTATTTTCTGGAGATGCACAATCCATAAACTTTAAAGTAAGTCTGCACTAAAACACACTAGCAAAACATTAAAATGCTGCTTTTTAAAACCCTATGCTATTTCTTTTTTCTTTTGGTACCGGGGATCGAACTTGGGTCCCTGCACTTGTGAGGCAGGTGGCGGAACTGAGCTAAATCCCCGGCCCTCCTATGCTATTTCAAAACATTAAGAGATCAATCACTGTAACAGGAGCAAAACATCAACAGATCAGTGGGTATAGTAATTTTGTAAAGTTTCATGGACAAATAAATCATAGGCAATGGTTTAAACAACAACTCGAAAAGCCAAAGAGCTACCAAGGAAAAGGGAAAAAAATCCTTTTGGGAAATAAAAGGAAACCATTTGAATTACATTAGCCTTTAATTTGTGAAAGAATTTTTCAAAAAGGAAGCCAGGCCAACAGATCAAACAAAGAAACAAAATCAACTCACCTCCCCTAAGGGAAATGACTGACAAGGAAGGTGATGCTACAGACATCTTCAGAAAGCAAGCCCTGGGTGCACTCATGGAATCTATACATACACAGGAATGTGTTTACATTATTTTTACAGTTTATTAAATCATTTCATCATACTCTTTCATTTGATCCTTAAAATAAACCTGTCAATTTTCAGGGCAAATCCTATCTTCTTTGTATAAAAGGAGAAAGTGATGCTCAGGTTAAATAAACTGCCTAGAGAAGTGGTGAACCTTTTAGCACTTTCAATGGTACAAACAGCCACCGTAGCACACGTGCAGTACGTTCGCCACCACTGGTCTAGAGTTCCATAGCTCATGGCAGATTTTGGTCTTGAACCAAGATGTCCTGATTTCAAACCATAACATATCAATGGTTGTTACCTAAACACTGAGTATTCAATACTATGAATCTCCCTGCCAACATCTCTGAAAAACTTATTAAAGCAAATTGTGCAGAATTTGAAGCTTTATCAACTGTAAAATTCTAACTCTGGGACAAACCTTTAAACCTTACCTTCACATCAAATGAAGGCTTGAAGAGCTTGTCCTTAGACAGAAATTTTGATGGTGTATCCAGGTGTGCTGAGGGCTCCTTCTGAAGTGGCTTTCCTACTGCTGGAGAGGCTGAAACCTGCCCAGTGTGTTGTGAGAGCACAGCATGGAAAACTTTACTCTGAAAGCGGTTCATATCCAAAGGAGTAACAGTCATTTTTCTGAGAGATTCCACATGTTTGCCAGGATGTGCTAAAGTATCCAGATTTAGAGTCTCGCTATTTGTTGGTTTGGTTTCCAATCTTTGTTCTACACATTTAAAATGAAAAGCAGCATATATGAGCCAATAACATTCACTTTCTTTTCTCTAAAGAAGCACACAAGAAGTAACACTCTTGCATCTCACTGGTACATAGTTTCTTTTTGTATTTTTAGTTTAATTCAATTAATTTGTTTTCATTTTGATTTTTTGAGATAGGATCTCACTATGTAGTTCAATTGGCCTGAATTCACTATGTAGCCCAGGCTGGTTTTGAAATCAGTGATCCTCCTGACTCATCCTCCAGAGTGCTGGGATTACAGGTGTGTGCCATCACATGCAGCTACCTTATTTGACTTTCATGTTATATCTCAGGAACATGTTAAACCATAAAGTTATATTCCTGGTCTCTAGGAAGTAAACCAGGTAATGTGTTAAAATATACACTGAATTGGAAAAGCATTAACTAAAACAAGTAATGAACACAGGCTTCCTATTTCATCTTGTTAAACATTAAAATCTTTTCAGAAAACCCACTGCCACAAATGCATCCATAAATGTCAACTTAAATCAATGGTGAAATTAAAAAAATCCCAAGCTGGTGATGTAGCTTAGTGGCAGAGTGTTTGCTTAGCATGAGCCAGGCTCTGGGTTCCGTCCCCAGTACCACCAAAAACACCCACCCAAAAACAAAAACAAACAACAACAATCCCAACTACACTCAAGTTTTTGGGAAGTCCACCAAGAAATTTTAATATGACCTATACTCACTTGAGTGTCCATCATAAATTCTCATTGTAGCTAGGTAAATAATGACGCTGAGAGGTGTTCCCAAGCTACTGACCTGTCCCTTAAGTTTGCCCATGATATCATCATCATCTACAGGTTATTTGTGTCCTTCCACCCCTGCCTCCCTTCCACCTTTTCTCAACACTGAACAAAACACCTTCTAGATGACTACTCCATGCCAGGCCTGATGTTAGACATTGGAAATACAGAATTCACAGGACATGCATGTGCCTTGCCTTACAGTTTAGTGAAGAGACAAAAGTAATTGGTGTAAGAAGCATAAAGGGGCAAAACAAAATATTATGGCAAGACAAAGGCAGTGCTTGCCGGGAGGTTCAATCCCTTGCACTGGAGAAAACAACTAAAAGAGCCAGTGAGTATGAAATGGTCTTGAAGAAATGTACAAAGACCCAAAGAAAAGCAGAAAAAGAAAGCACATTAGTTAAGTGGTTAGTATAAGCCACAAAAGGAGTTAAAGTAAAGAAGAAAAAAGCTCACACCTTTCATCTTCAAACTAAGAACCTCAAACATTCTTACACTGTTTTGCACCCACTAGCTTTGGAATATTTATGGTTGATAGTACAATACAAATTAAGAATTTATGCTGCAGACACACATTCATTTTGCCATCCAATGTCAAATGCTCAACAGTGGCTTACTGCAAATAAAATGAAAAGTAGAAATACACGATCTTCCCTACAGCAAACACACTGGAACACGAATATCCCAGAAACCATCAAGTAGTAAAGCATATATATGGAATAAAATAAAAGTAATAACCTGTGGGTAAATTTTCAATCAGAAAATGGCTTTCATCTGCTCTCTCTCCCATTCTAGCAGTCTCCAGCAGCCAAGCTATAGTGACTGCTGGTAAATTCCACTTCTTTGCAGCTTCATATTTGGAACCAACTGGTTCTTTCAATATAAGATGTGTACTGGCAAGCATGCCTTTCTTTGCATTGGATTTGCGAACGAAGTATTCTTGAACACTGAAATTTATATTTAAAGAAAAGCAAATGGTCACATACACAATGAGCTAGAAAACTAAGAACAAAGTTTCTATGAAGTTACTTAAGTTTGAGAAAACACACACTGAATAAAAATTGGCATGTTCTACATCCTGAGTTTGATTCCTGGTACCAAAAAAAAAAGGGGCATGTTTTACATGAAATTAAGCAAATCCCTTTATAAGTGCTCACTCTAGGATAAAAATATATTGCTATACCAATTAAACTCTATACAAAGTTAGACTTTCAAGACTAAGTACATAGTATCTACTTAATTAGTCATTACTCACCCACCCATCTTTTCCTCCTGAAAGGGGATATGAAGCAAAGTTATATAAATAACATTATATATATTTTCCCACTATAACTTTCCAAAGTATTTTCACATAATCTCATTGGTCATCTTAATATTTGTGAAATATGATTTTATAGCTATGGTAATATATAAAGTAACTTGATCAAGAGCAGATGATATTAAACAGAGAATATGGGGCAGAAACATAGATCCAACAGTTGAGATAGAAATAGAATTCAGTCTTTGCTAACTTCTGGGTCTTACGTTGTGGTTCAGTGGCGGTGAATCTATGGCGTATGTGCCACAGCATGTTGTTCCGTATCACTGAAAGCTCTAAGAGGCTTCCATCATGGTTCTAGTTCCTAACTTTTAAAACTTTTTTTTTTTTTTTTTTTAGTAGGAAAAATTTATTGAGGGAAAGTTTCTGTCTAAGAAAGACCAGAAAGTGGCTTGCCCCTAAAACATTTTTTAATGTGCTGTCTTTCCTAGTCCTTTTTCTGGAGGAGGGGATGGTACCAGGGATCGAACTGGGGCCCTTGCTGCCTTGTGAGGCAGGTGCCGGAACCACTGAAATAAATCCTAGTACTTTCACATTTAACCCACTGATCCAGTTGGCACTTTGGTATGAAACATGGCTCCAACTTTATCGAATTCTATTTATTCTCTCTCCTATTAATTAGAAATATCATTTTATCATAAATAAAATGGCTGTATTAGGTCTATCGCTAAACTTGTTCATTCACTGAAATTTCCTTTATTTAAAATCACTGTTTTTGAGTGAGGTTTACACACTGCTGTTTATTAACAGTTAGGACTAATCCCAATTATTCCATCTCAGAATTTTCACAACTTTCCTGCTTGCTAATCTTTCTACATAAATTTTGGAATTAGTTTGCTTAGTGCCCTCCCTAAAAAAATTTTCTTTGGTATAGTAGTCTCACCATGGATACATGGTTTCAATTGCCATGTTAACAGTGTTCTAAAATAGTAAATGGAAAAATCCCAAAATAAACAACTTAAAATTTTGAATTGCACACCAATCTGAGCAGCAAGATGAAATTTCACAGTCCACCTGTCCCACCGAGGATATGAATCATTGCTTTGTCTGGCACATCCATACTGCCCATGTTACCCGCCAATTAGTCACTTAGTAGCTGGGTCAGAATTAGATTAACTGTTGAGGATCACATGCATGCTCACGCCGAGAGAAACCATATGTATATAACTTATTATAGTTTATTGCTATAATGGTTCTATTTCCTTCTCATTGTTGCTAATCTCTTTTTCTGTTTCTTCATTTTTTTGTTTTTTGAGACAAGGTCTCACTGTGTAGTCCAGGCTGGCCTCAAACTTGTGGCAATTCTCTTTCCTCAGCCTTCCGGATGCTGGGATTACAGGTATGTGCCACCACACCTGACTTGTTAATTCTTGCTGGGGCTAATTTATACTGTACATTTAATTTTACCATAAGAATATATGTATGCATAACGATGAAACTCAGACTCCTAGAAAAACAAGAGCAAGAAAAACCCAAAGCTCGAACAAGAGAGGAAATTATAAAGATCCGACCAGAAATCAATGCAATTGAAACTAAGAAAACGATACAAAAAATAAATGAAACAAAGAGCTGGTTTTTTGAAAGAATAAATAAAATTGACAAACCCTTAGCTAATCTTATCAAAAAAAGGAAAGAAAAGGCTCAGATCCATGCAATCAGGAATGAAAAAGGTGAAGTCACAACAGATCCAAAAGAAATCCAGAGGATCATGAACACCTACTTTGAGAACCTGTACTCTAATAAAATGGAACACACAGAAGAAATGGACAGATTTCTATATACTTATGAATTACCAAAGTTGAACGAAGAAGACAAAAACATTTTAAACACGCCAATCACAATCAGTGAAATTGAAAATGTAATTAAAAACTTACCAACAAAGAAAAACCCAGGCCCTGATGGATTCACTGCTGAATTTTACAAGACATTTAGAGAAGAACTACTACCATTACTCTTCAAACTTTTCAATGAAATTGAAAGAGAAGCTATACTTCCAAATTCATTCCTGGAAGCAAGTATCACTCTGATTCCCAAACCAGAGAAAGATACAACCAAAAAGGAGAACTACAGACCAATCTCCTTAATGAATATAGATGCAAAAATCCTTAATAAGATACTAGCAAACAGAATACAGAGGATTATTAAGAAGATCATCCATCATGACCAAGTCGGATTTATTCCAGAGATGCAAGGGTGGTTCAACATACGAAAGTCAGTGAATGTAATACATTATATTAACAAAGTCAAGGACAAAAACCATATGATCCTCTCAATAGATGCAGAAAAAGCATTTGATAAAATTCAACACCCATTCATGATAAAAACCCTGCAAAAAATTGGAATAGATGGTCTATACCTCAATTTAATAAAGGCTATTTATGAAAAACCATCAGCCAACATCATATTGAATGGCCAAAAACTGAAAACCTTCATGTTAAAATCAGGAACAAGACAAGGATGCCCACTATCGCCACTTCTCTTCAATATAGTTCTGGAAACATTAGCCACAGCAATTAGACAAGAGAAAGAAATTAAAGCAATAAAGATAGGAAAGGAAGAAGTTAAACTATCATTATTTGCTGATGATATGATACTCTACATTGAAGATCCAAAAAACTCCACCAAAAAACTTCTAGACTTAATTGACAGATTCAGTAAAGTATCTGGATACAAGGTGAATACCCAAAAATCAATAGCCTTTCTATACACAAATAACAGACAGACAGAAAGAGAAATAAGGGAAAAAATTCCTTTTACAATAGCATCCAAAAAAATGAAGTATCTAGGAATCAATCTAACAAAAGAAACAAAAGATCTCTACACTGAAAACTACAGCACTCTGAAAAAAGAAATCGAAGAGGATATAAAAAAATGGAAAGATATCCCCTGCTCCTGGGTAGGAAGAATCAACATAGTGAAAATGGCCATACTACCGAAACTGCTATATACATTCAATGCAATGCCAATTGAAATTCCAACACTATATTTCACAGAACTAGAAAAAAGAATCCAAAAATTCATTTGGAACCACAAGAGACCTAGAATAGCAAAAGCCATTATAGGCAACAGTCACATGGCACCAGGTGTAACAATTCCCAATTTGAAACTATACTACAAAGCCACTGTGATAAAATCAGCATGGTACTGGCAAAGAAATAGGCCTGAGGATCAATGGAACAGACTGGAAGACACAAAAACAAATGCAGATGTACTCAGCTACCTCATCTTCGACAAAGGAGCTCACCATCCTCAGTGGAGGAAAGATAGCCTCTTTAATAAATGGTGTTGGAAAAACTGGATATCAACCTGTCACAGATTAAAATTAGACCCTTATCTTTCGCCATGCACTAAATTAAAATCCAAATGGATTAAAGATCTAAATATTAAAACAGAAACATTAAACTTGCTGGAAAGTAAGTTAGGCAGAACTCTGGAAGACATTGGTATAGGAAAAGACTTTATGAACAAATCCTCAGTAGCACGGGAACTAGCAGAAAGAATCAACAACTGGGATCTCATCTTACTAAAAAGCTTCTGTACTTCAAAAGAAACCATTAGCAGAACTAAGAGACAATCTACAATGTGGGAAAAAATTTTTACCAGCTGTACCTCAGACAAAGGACTATTATCAAGGATATATAAAGAACTCAAAACAATCAGTCCCCCCAAATATAAAGACCCGATCCAAAAATGGGCATCCGAAATGAACAGACATTTCTCATACAAAGAAGTAAAAGCAGCAAGAAAATATATGAAAAAATGTTCCACATCACTGGTCATTCGAGAGATGCAGATGAAAACAACACTGAGATTCCACCTCACCCCACAAAGAATGGCTGCTATCAAGAAATCACACAATAACAAATGTTGGCGGGGTTGTGGGGAGAAAGGAACCCTCCTCCATTGTTGGTGGGAGTGCAGACTAGTGCAACCACTATGGAAATCAATATGGAGATACCTCAAAGAGCTTGGACTGGAGGTTCCATTTGACCCAGCCATCCCTCTGCTGGGTATCTTTCCAAGAGAACTAAAAGAATCATATCACAGAGAAGTATGTGCACCCATGTTTATAGCGGCACAGTTTGTAATAGCTAAATCTTGGAAACAGCCTATTTGCCCATCCGTTGGAAACTGGATAAAGAAGTTGTGGTTTTTCTATAAAATGGAATATTACTCAGCCATAAAGAATGAGAAAATAGATTCATTCATAGGAAAATGGATACATATTGAAGATATACTCCTAAGTGAAATAAATAAGTCACACATGTGTAAATACCGAATAGTTTCCCTGGTGTAAATAATCTGCAACAATGCATAAGATTCTAATAAGATTACTGACATTTAGAAATGGGAAGAAAGGAGCTAAAGGTGTAGGGAAGGTGGGATGGGTAGGGGAAGGGTAAAAAGGGAAAAGAAAAAAATGTGAGAGAATGAAAAGATGAAAATAAAGTGTTTGTAGATGGGGAGGGGAGGAGGGGGTGAAGGAAGGGCAGAGGTAAGGGGAAAAAATGAGAATCAAGACTTGTCATGTAGAGGTACAAGATCCCAACAATGAATGTAACTGTAAAATGTACCAATAAACTCAATTAAAGCTGAAAAAAAAAAAAGAAAAAGAATATATGTATGCATAAGATAAAACATAGTAAATAGAGACTCTGATATCATCCACAGTTTTAGGCATACAATGGGGTTACTACAACATACCCACAGGTAAAAATATGTTCTAGTTATGTTTGTGTTTACTATTAAAACTTCAATGCCTAGATTCTTTCACTAATTGAAGGTTATAATCCTATCCTTCCTTATATTTTGGAATATCTCTAAAAAGGACAATTGTACCTTATCTACTTACATGCTATCCTAATATATACTGTATAGAAAATGGCAGGATAATAGTTACTCTTTTTTCCTTTTGGCAGTTTTCAAAATAAAAGGTTGGCTCCTGAATATCTTTCAAAAGTGATCAATTACCTTAGTTTTTACAGTATCACTGTGAAGTCATGATTTAACCACTTTATGATGTGTTTGAATCCACTGCAGTCTTTTTTTTTTTTCCTGGTATCAGGGATCAAATTCAGGATCTTGTACTTGCAAGGCTGGCGCAGCACCACTGAGCTAAATCCCCGGCCCATCCACTGCAGTTATTATCTTTAATTATACTTAAGTTTTCCTGTGTTTGGCAAGTGAAGGTATTTGGGGGGCGTACTGGGTAGTGAACTCAGGCCCTTGCATCTGCAAGGCAGGTGGCGAAACCACTGAGCTAGAACCCTGGCCCAAGTGAATGTATTTTTGACACCAACCTAATAGCCTTTGATAATATCCTCGCTCTTTAGCCTGACAAAATGTTCCAGATTCACTTATATACTCTCTCCCCCAAATCTGTAATTAATCATTTCTTTAAGCTTTAGTTTTAGTAGGAAATAATATTTTAAGATTAAAATCTGGAGCTTGGCATGGTGGCAAACGCCTATAATTCTAGCACTCCAGAGGCTGAGGCAGGAGGATCACCGTGGGTTCAAATTCAGCCTCACTACACAGTGAGTTCAAGGCTATATTGAACTGCACAGTGATACCTTCTCTCAAAAAAATTAAAATCTGGGTGCTGGAGTTGCCTGTTTCTATTGGGTTGGTAAACATATCTAGGCTTTTAAATGGTTTTGATTTCTTCCCCCACCCCCCGAAAGGAGACTTTATTCTGGAAGGCAGGTGAGGGAGAGGAGAGAGAGAAGAGAGACAGGAAAGAGGAGAGATAAGGAGAAAGAGGAACGAAGAAAGGACAGTTTCATTTCTTCTTTGAACCAAGAGCTACTACAAAGTTTTTAATTCCTCACATGTCTTACTGTTTTTGTCTTAAGAATGATAATGTCATCTTTGGTACTTCAAAATACAATTAATGTTTGGATTTTTAAATTTATCATTAAGTAAAGGACACAATGCCACAAATCCCTTTCAAAATTCTCCTTCCAGCTCTGCATACACTAATCCCATCATTTTTGTCTCTTTCTGAAGCAGTTCTGGAAATCTTTTGTTGAATGTCTTTATGATGTCTAATCAAAACTTTAGTAAATGCTACTGCCAAATAGCATCCAACAAAAAGGTAGGCTCGCAAAAAAGTACAGTGTGTCCTCATCCACCTTATTCACCAGATCCAGCACCACGTGACTTCTGGCTCTTCTCCAAAGTCAAAATGACCATGAAAGGTAAATGTTTTGAATTAATCTGAACAGTGTAACTAAAGATGCTCATGAAAAAGGACTTTACGGAACCACTTCAGAAAGCGGCAAGAATGATGGGATAAGTGATTAAAGCAAGAGGGAATATTCTGAGGGAAATTAATGGCAATGTGTCTTTTACTATGATAAAGGAAAAAAATTAAGATTTACCATGTTTTTTCAATCATAAGGCATAAATTTTATCTTCAGCATGAATAGCATTATTACAATGCTCTTTTTTCTTAATCACTTTTGATATAAATTCAAACCTGTCTGCTAGTAAAACTAACCTTTTTCTTTCCTTAGGCATTTATATCTTTGCCCACCATTCACCCACAATGTTCTGAGTCATTTTTCTTTAAAAACGGGCTGGGAATTTAGCTCAATGGTTCCACCACCTGCCTTGCAAGAGCAAGGTCCCAAGTTCAATTCCAGGTACCAAAAAAAAAAAAAAAAAAAAAAAAAAAAAAAAAAAAAAAAAACAGCTGAATTTTACCTTATGATATACTCTGAAAGTATTTTACTTTTAATACAAAGCTTAATATATATTTATTGATATTAATAGCTTTCTACTTTTTTCCTTTTTCTTTTTTGGGAGTACTGGGGAATTGAACACAAGGCCTTATATGTGCTAGGCAAATAATCTCATCACTGACCTATCACCCCAGAACCCTCACTCAGTTTTAAAATTTTGTGACAGGATCTTGCTAAGTTATCCAGGCTAGTCTCAAACTTGCAATCCTCCTGCCTCAGCCTCCTGGGTAGCTGGGATTGTATCACATCCAGCTGCTTCTTTTTTAAATAACCACCATCTAATGATAAATTAGGGCTGGGCTAATACAGATTTTCGGAAGTAACTTTTAAATTCATTTTATTTCACTCAAAGTATTCATAGGTCCTGATACAAATAGTACATCTGCATTTCTGGCTGAAAACAAGAGAAACAATGAATGCATACAAGATGAATAAATAAATCCATATGGTACATGGAAGGGTATAATATTTAGATGAGCACTATTCAGTAACAGCCCATGTATCAGCATTAAATAGTCCCTTTCCTGATTCTTAATAACATAGCACCGAGGCCTGTAGTCTGTTTTTCTTTTTTTTCCAGATAGGGTCTCACCATACAGTCCAGGCTGGCCTCAAACTCACTTTGTAGCCCAGGCTGGTCTCAAACATTTTATTCTCCCACTTCAGCCTCCAGGTGTCAGGATTACAGTTGTGTGGCATACCTGCCTGGTTAATGCCTGTGGTCTTAAATGTTTGCCAGACATTCAGCTCATTGTTTCCTGCCCTCTATCACCTTGAGCCATCAGATACACTATCCATTACTCACAAATACAATAAAAATACCTGGCCAAATTCTAATTAAAATGCTTTCTAGTAAGTCAAAATAAATTAAAAAGTACACAACAGCAGGCACATTAAAACATCCCATACCTTGCTCCAAGGTAACTTGCCAAGAATATCAGAGAATCTTTTTCTGCTCCAACACACTGGCTGAAGGAAATAACACAATCCTCTAAAGGAGTCACTCCTGTCATTACTGGGATTGGTGTGAAGAGAGGATTTGACTTTGGATCAATTAAAGTCTGATAGTCTATACAAGTAACCTTTTAAAAACAAGAGAAACAGTAACGTCAACCTGGATGAAGAAACTAGTGGTTAACACTAATTCAAATATAGTACCAGTTTTAGTTTCAATGAAATGTTAACGTAAATACTTAAAATGAAAATGATATCTAAAGAACAATACAGACATAAATTCATTACATTTAGATATTAAAATCACAAAGATTGGAGTTGAAATTTTTCAAAATTCATTTTTTCCAATGTATTCATTTATCATTTTTTTCTCTTAATTCTTGAGATGTTGAAAAAGCACGTCACACTTTGGTTGTGAGGAAAAATAAATAGTATGGGATTGACCTAGAGTAACTTACTAAGGGCCAGGACTGG